CATTACCGATTATCTCTTCTGGTCCCTCAACTCCACCTCCATAGCCAAGAGGGCTCGATAGCATCTGCACTTCTTGCAGAGGCTGAAGAAATCGAGCCTCCCCCGACTGATTCTCACCACATTCTACACCAGCACCATCGAAGGTGTGCTCTGTAGCTGCATCATAAGAAATTTACAAGAACATAAGAAATTTACAAACGAGAGGAGGCCATTCGGCCCATCAAGCTCGGGAACTCTAATGTCTCAGACTGTAACGCGCTTCAGCAGATAGTGAGAGCAGCTGAGAAGATCATCGGTGTGCCCCTACCCCCCCTAAAAGACATTTTCCAGACCCGCTGCTACAACAGAGACAAAAACATGGTAATGGACCTTTCCCACCTGCTACACGGACTCTTTTCTCTCTTACTATCCGGAAAATGGTATCAAAGCTCCGCCTTTACCAGGCTGTGTAACAGCTTCATACCACAAGCCATCAGAACTCTGAATGCACACTAATATCTGGACTGTGTCATACAAATACTACCTCTAAATATACAAATACTATATATTACACCAGGGCCATGAAGATATTGTTTCATCTCTCTTTGTATAGGTATGAAGCTGCTGATGACAATAAAGTAACCTTGAACCTTGAAATAAAATTTATCAATATAATAAATACAAATATAATAAAATAATGAAAGCATCCAGAGTTCTCTGGTATTTAGTGGTATTTATGTCACATGTGGGACCAAATCCGGAGAATCTCTAATATTTTCTAAACAACATAAAAAAACTTATATGAGGGACTATATCATGACATTGCCAAATGCCCTGTGAACATCCTTGAAACCGTTTGTCAGTACTTAAATGGGACCTGCTGGGTTAATAATGTCCTGTAAAGATCTGATTGCAAACATTATAAAAATATGTTTATGGGGAATTCAGCTATTGCCCTGAGGATGTCCCTTGTTTGATGGGATTTTCTCATGGTGTAGGCTTTGAGGGCCACCATGTGATACAACACAATGCAACACACAAAATGCTAATTAGACACAGATATTTACATTATTTACACGGCTGGTCCAGTATATCCAATATAATAATAATAATAATAATAATAATTACCATAATAATAGTAATAATAATGCCTATTATTATTATTGTTATTATTGTTTGTAAATTTCTTATGTTCTTTTTATTATGCGCCTATTCATGTAATGAAAGGCCCATATTACTATTCACCTAGTAAACTACATTTTCCCAATTTGCGCTGAGCCCGTGAAAGGCACGGAGCTCACTTTTGTACCAAATCGTAGGGCTTGCTTAGATGGACGGATTGACATATCATTTGTCTCTGTACTCCTTACGGATTGCGTGCAATTGCCTCTCAAAGTCGAAAAAAAAACTTTATTATTATTATTCTTCCGTGATTTGTTTGAGGTGTTTGAGGTGTGCTATTACTTTTCTGCGCAGAATATGTTACCATGGTGACGTTATTCACGTTAAAACACACTAAAAATCCCATAGGAATGCATTGAATGCTAACTTTTACCTAGCATTAGCCTATACCTAACTAACCATGTGAATAGTAGTAAGGATCGTCTTTTTTCATGGCAGTGAATGGCCCATTGACTTCAATGCATTTCAGTCAAAGATTTCCCACTCGGCCAGCGTTCATACCAAAGCAACAAGACTCGGTATTCAACCTTAGGCCTCATCACCCAACACCACAAGTCCACCATCTTGACCCGCACTCGTCTTTCATCCCTCGTTCTCTCCCATTGACTTCAATGCATTTCAGTCAAAGTTCTCCCACTCGGCCAGCGTTCATACCACAGCAACAGGACTCGGTATTCAACCTTAGGCCTCATCACCCAACACCCCAAGTCCACCATCTTGACCCGCACTCGTCTTTCATCCCTCGTTCTCTC